GTTCCTCTGCTATTCATAAGGTTTTCACTGGCTAATTGTTTTTAGAAGTAGACTGCCAGGTCCTTCTTCCTAGTCTGTCTTAGTCTGGAAGTTCAGCTGAAACCTGTCTGCCATGGGTGACCCTGTGGTATTTGAATACTGGTGGCATAGCTTTCAGCATCACAGCAACATGCAGGCCCCCACAGTACCACAAACTGACAGACGTATGGGGGTCTTCTTCCACTACACATTAATATTTCCCTTGCCCTTAGCCTTAACCTCAGCTGGTTTGTTTTCTTTACTGGTGGAGTGACCCAAATATTCATTTCTGAAGGATCCAAGTCACTAATTGTTCTTTTTTTTGGCTGCTGTAGTTTTCCATTAATCTTTGTTAATTGGCATGAAGTACTAAGAGGCACTCCAAAAAAATGCCCTGGGTTCCAGACATAGTCCTCCTTGCCCCCATTGTGTAGCAGCAACCCAGTATCCCCTTGTTAATCAGGATCAATCACACTAGCCAAAAGAGTAATGCTTTTTTTTTTCTGCCTTTTGCTTTAGTGACATAAGGAGCCCAAAATGGCCAGATGGCACTCTCATATTCCAACTCAATGGAACCATTGTTTTGTCCCCTGGTGGAAACATTCCCAATTTGCAGATTAAGACCTCCAAAACAATAGAGCTCAAAGTTGCTGGGATGGGAAGCAAGTAGGTTATTAAGTATATTCATGGCAGGAGTCACTCTCATTTCCAGCCCTTGATTCCCAGACCCATGTACTTAACTAAGGGGGAGCCATCACCATATAATGGTCTCTGGTACAAGGCATATACTGCATTCCAGAAATACAGAACCTCCATTTTTTCAGAGTATTGTCTCCCAACTAGGGCCATAACTAAGTCTTCAGTAAGCCATTCCACATTTCAATTAGCCTGTTTCCTGCTGATGGGGAGTTAATTCCATGGGCATGAGTTCACTGATGTATTTTTGCTGTGGGGAAATGCCATGATGGTGGATAAGACATTTGGTGAGTCCACAGATGGTGGTGCTAACTGAATCAGTATGGGCAAGGAAGGTAAATAAATCCATACCCAAAATATTTTCCAGTGAGGATGAATCTCTGACCTCTTCATGATGGAAGAGGTCCAATGTAATCAATCTGCCACCAAGTGGTTGAATGGTCCCCTGGGGAATTCTGGTCTTGGGTGTTTGCAGATTAGGTATTCAGTAGTAGCATTAGTCAGGTCAGCTTTGGTAAGGGAAAGTCCATGTTGTTAAGCCCTGGCATAGCCCTTCTCCCTGCCACCATGGCTACTTTGTCATGCCATGGAAAGAAGATGACTGGCATTGACAAAGTGTCATTTTGTTTACTTGATTATTAAAAACCTATCTTCACAGTCTGTGTCTATCCACTTCATGCCTCCCCAAACTTCCTTGTTACAAATCTTCCAATCCTGTTCCTCTCTAGTCTCTGACTATACAGCCAGCCAATTAGTTACTCCTCCTAAATCAGTATATATCTGTACTTCTGGCCATCTCACACTAAAGACAAAGTGGACAATTAAATGTACTCCTAGCAGTTCTACCCACTGGGAATATTCTCCATCACTACTTTCCATCAAGGTCATTCCTGAGTGGGGCTGTAGTGCTGCATTTACCTACTTTGGGATGGTACTAGCATATCATGCAGATTCATGTGTAAAAAAGGCCATCTGTAAACCAGTTACTTGGTCATCCAGAACACCTTAAGAGGCTACAGGCATAGATTGAAGTAGAGGAGACAATACAACAGAGTCAAGTTGAAGGAGTCTGATCCACCTGCTCATGCAATTTGCTCATACTGCCTGAGATCAATTTTTTATATACCATTTCCATTTGATGATAGATTGCCACCACATACACCCAACTTTATGGTTAGGTGGGACAGAGAATACCTAGTTCATGATGAGAAGCTTAAGCCACTTGGTCACCAAATGTCCCATCATTAGGTGTTCAGTCCTAACCAAGGCTCAGTAGCAAGCCAGAACCTATTATTAAAAGGAGAATAGTTATCTGGCACAGCTATCCATCATTCCCTCTCTTATGGTCTCTACAACGACTTCCCTGATAAAAAAACAAGTACTGCAAACAGAACTGAGGAAACCCAGGATACCAAGACCCATCAAAAGCATCTTTCTCCGAAAGCAAGTTAAGAAGGCAGAAAGGGGCAGGAAAAGTGGATGAAGGGAAACAGAGAACCCAACGTGGAAATTGGGAGAGTGCTGACACATTGTGGGGATTGCAACCCATGTTATGAAACAATCTGTATAAATTGCTGAATGGGAAACTAATTTGCTCTGTAAACTTTAACCTAAACCACAGTATTAAGAAAAAAAAAAACCAAACAACTTTCTAATACTATAGACTCACTCGTATCTATGATGACAAACCATCCCAATTTGCCCAAGACTGTCCTGGTTTCAGCACTTAAAAGTCCTATATCTTGGGAAATACCTCAGTCCCCAGGCAAGCTGGGACAATTTATTACCCTACATGTGCCCTAAAGACTTTAAAACTTCCTGCATCTCAGAATAACCTTGGACACTTAGTTAAAATGCAAGTGATTCTGGTTTTTTTTTTTTGTATCTTTTTTTTTGTACTTTTTTTTATCGTACTTTAGACGAAGGTTTACAGAACAAATAGTTTCTCATTAAACAGTCAGTACACATATTGTTCTATGACATTGGTTAACAACTCCACGACATGTCAACAATCTCCCTTCTCGACCCTTTTCTTTTTTTTTGGTGAAAATATACATAGCCAAAGATACACCATTTCAAAAATTTCTACATGCACAATTCAGTGACATTGATTACGTTCTTCCAGTTGTGCTGCTATTCTCACTTTAGATGAAGGTTTACAGAACAAAATAGTTTCTCATTAAACAGTTAGGATACATGTTGCCCCATGATAATGGTTAACAACCCCACTACATGTCAACACTGTCCTTACTCAACCTTGGGTTCCCCATCACCAGCTTTCCTGACCCCCTCTGACTTCTAGTTCTTATCCCTGGACTGCTGTGCCTCATTAGTCCTGCCTTGCTCCATGGGGCCATCCAATCCCCGGCTGAATGGTGAACCTCGGAAGTGACTTCACCACTGAGCTAAAACGGTGTCTGGGGGCCATACTCTCAGGGCTTCTCCTGTCTCTTTCAGGCCAGTAAATCTGGTCTTTTTCTTGTGTATTAGAATTTTATTCTACAACCTTCTCCAGCTCTGTCCAGAACCCTCTGTTGTGATCCCGGTCAGAGCAGTCAGTGGTGGTAGCCGGGCACCATCTAGCTGTACTGGACTCAGTCTGGTGGAGGCCCTGGTAGCTGTGGTCCATAGTCCTTTGGACTAATCTTTTCCTTGTATCCTATTCTCTGCATTCTCCTTCGCTCCCAAAGGAGTGAGACCAGTGGAGTATTTAGATGGCTGCTCACAGGCTTTAAAGACCCCAGACACTACTCACCAAGGTAGAATGTAGAACATTGCTTTATAACCTGTGTTATGCCAATTGAGCTAGATGTTCCCCGAGACCATGGTCCCCACAGTCCTCTGCCCAGCAGTTCAGTCCCTCAGGGAGTTTGGAAGTGTCTGTGGAGCTTCCATGACCTTTCCTTGTACAAGTTGTGCTGGCTTCCCCCGTATTGTGTAGATTCTGCTTTTTTTTTTTTTAAAAAAAAAGGAATTTTGGAGGCAAGTGGACCATGGATTGATTTTTGAGAAACATTCTACTTGAGGCTGAAGAGGTGTTAATCACTACTTTTAGGGACTCCTCAATCCAGGCTTCTTTGTTCTGTTCCAAAACCATAATCATTGAAAAGAAAGAAATGACATATTTTGGAAAATACAGCCAAGGTTCCTGAGCCAGAAGCAGAAACTAACAAATTACTAGCTGATGAAAAAAAGATAAAAATTATAGTCTGGCCTTACCACTTTCTCTCCTTTCTGTTCTAGAATAAGTCATTTTTCCTTTAATGCACAGAGTATAACAAAGAATAATGGATGCTGTGAAAATTGCATTTGATACTACCAACAATATAGGTACATTGATGAGGTCCACTGAGCTTTCTGCAGGTAAGCACTATATAATACAAAGCTTATTTTAAAGATTTTCACAGTGACTATGCTTTAGTAGATCTCAGAAATAACTTGCACAAAAATAGTTAATTCAGTGCAATTTTCACCGATCAACAAAGTATTTTTCACACCTTAAGGTACATACATGTTTAACATGGTCACTTTAAAGACATTTCTTAAGAACTCACAGATGGGGTGAAGAGAAGACACTCTTAACATTTATTGTGTGCTAGGCATTGTGCTAAATTCTTTACATACATCATCTCATTTAATCCTCCCAACAGGAGCTACGCCCATTTTATGAAGCAGAATACTTGCCAAGATTAAATACCTAGCAAATGGTGGTGTATGGAATGAAACTCAGGTCTGTTCATTCAAACAAATACTAGTGCTTAATATACAAACCCTGCGCTTAGCAATAGGGAGCCAAGATGAAAAAGGCTTGGTCCCATACCCTGTTTGAAGTGCTATGGTTGAAGTACGCACAGGCTGCAGTGCGAGCACAAAGGAGGCGCATTTTAGGCTATCCTAAAATAGCTTTCAGAATAAATTTCAAACCCTTTGCTTTGCTTATCATATCATGACCTTGCCCTCCAATACACTCGCCCTTACCCCAGCGCCGCTGGGACCCGGTCGCTCTTTCTGTATAGATCAGAAATGCCGGCGCTTGGACGTCTCCAGTGCTCGGGATCTCACCTCCCCAGGGACCTCGGCCTAGGACACACGTCTTCATTCCCATATCCAGGGCAGTCACCTAGTTCCACCACACCCTCAATCCCTATCCTCCTCTCCAGCCCAGATCCTCCCATCGGCACCTCCGGCAACTCGGCCCTCCGAGTGCGGGGATACGGGGCTGCCCGGATCCCAGGCTGGGACACCGGAAGCGGCGGCGGAGCCCATGACGTCGGGAGGAAATGCCTGATGCCGGGACCTGTGGTTGGGAATTGCGGAGTGGTGTCTCGGTCCTAAGGTCCCCCAGGCCGCAGGCGACGGATTGGGTCTGGAGCACCAGGACCGAGTGTGTTTAGATCTGCGTCTCTGGTTCCGCTAGCAGGTGCGGCCTCCTTGCTTCCCGCTGGGCGCCCGGGGGTGGAGTTCCCTTCTCGTGCGGTCTCTGGGCCCTCATCCCTGGTCTCCTAGGAGAGGGAAAAGGTCTAAATTAGGGAAAGGCGCTGCCCCTTACCGAGGACCAGGCTCTTTCACCTGCGTTGCTCGCTTAATCTGTATTTCAACCGGGGGCAGGGAGGATTTTCCCTTTTTACAGAGGAAGAAACGGAGGCTCAGAAAGGTGAAGTCATTTGCTTCAGGTTATGCAACTGGGAAGTGACAGATCTGGATCCAAAACGAGTCCTGGTTGGCGCCAGAGTCCTTGTTTTTTGCACTGCAGCAGGGTTCTCAAACTTTATCTCGCTAAAGAAGTCTAGGGTGGAATAAACCAACAAAAATCCAAACAACCCTATAGGGTGGAGAGTGGAGTTAATTAAAAAACAAATTCTGGAACTCCACAAATTCAGGGTAGGGTGGGACTCTGGAATCTGTATTTTCACATAGCCTGACAGATTACTGTTTGGGGGGCACATACCGCTTCCCTGTGAATGGAGCAAGGAGGTGAGCAGGTCATAGCCCGTTTGGGGGACTATAGCAAATGGTAGTGATAAGCTTTTAACGTCTTCATTGAGAGAAAATGTCAAACAGAGGCTTTATCCACACATCTTATGTGAGTAGAGAGTTGCTATTTGATTTTGTCATTAATTCTTAGGCAGATGGCAGCCTCCGTCATGTCCCCATTTATTAAATGAGAAGAATTACATACTTAGCACCTGGGGGAATTTGTTAAACACGTAGATTCTTGGGTCCAGCTCAGCTTTACTGAGTCTGAAGGTTTGGAGATGAGGCTTGGGGATCTGTAGGCTAAATAAGCTATAAAATGAGCTTGTTATATTTGAGAACTTGAGGTATAAAGCTTTCTGAGATAGACCCAAAAGAAATGGAACATAGATTTGGAACGCTTGGCTGAGCTTCCTTGGTTTTGTTTTTTGTTGCTGTGCATGCTCCTGTACTTACTGTGGGCTGAGTTTTCATTAGCAAAAGCATCAAATTAGTATTTCTGTCCTTATGGGGTGGACTTTTCAATAGCTGAAGACTGGAACCTAATAAAATATGAATATTAATTACCTGCTATTTATTTTCTGAGTGACTTTGGGTATGTCATTTTACCTGTTGGTTTCCGTACATACATGCACATCGCCATCTTGTTGTAAAGACAGATGCCTGTGTCCCATCGTAAATCAGTTTTTCTGGATGTGGGATGTTGGTGTGTTTAACAAGCTGCCGGGGAAGTTTGATGCAGCCAGCTCATAAAATATGGAATATGAATATGGAAATGCACTTGGAAACTGAGTCTTAGCCTGTTTTTCAGTGTCCTTGTAGGTGAAAATGGGCGTGTTTCAATATCCTTAGTTCTCTTGGGGACTAATAAGAGTAATGTGGTTTATGGTATGTCCTGGTTTCAGAATTTCTTAACATGTACATTGGAAACCCTGCTGCTGTAGTGGTTAAGAGTTCAGCTGCTAACCAAAAAGGCTGGCAGTTTGAATCCGCCAGGCGCTGCTTGGAGACCTTATGAGGCAGTTCTGCTCTGTCCTGTAGGGTCACTATGAGTCGAAATTGACTGAACGGCAATGGGTTTTAACATGTACATTCTTGTGAAAGAAAGGGAGGTTGTATGATAAGATTGCAAAAAATAAACATTAAAGTCAACAGCCCCAAGTGACTTAGTAAGCTCCTTGATTGAGATATTGTGATGACAGAAGTTGATTTTCTTTAGAAGCTCTGATTGCTATTGAGACATCTCTTCTGTCTGAAAGGGTTACAATTACCTGTTAGAAGTCCAAGCTCAAGGACTTGGTGGCACAGTAGTTAATCGCTTGGCTGCTAACTCAAAGGTCAGTTGTTTGAACCCACCAGCCACTCTGTGGGAGAAAAGACCTGGCAATCTGCCCCCATAAGGATTTAAAAAAAAACCAAATACTTTGCCATCAACTCAATTCTGATTCCTGGCAACCTTATGAAACCCTATGGGACGGTTCTCCTCTGTCATATAGGGTTGCTATGAGTTGGAATTGATTGATGGCACAGCAGTCCAAGCTCACAACCCTAACTAAAAACACCTTTTTTTTTTTTTTTTAACAGATATCATTGTGTGGTTTGAGAATCAGGAATGAAATCTTCTGAAAGCTAAAAACAGGAGCATTTTTTGGTCAGCATGGAGGATAAAAGACAGCGAGCCAGAGTGCAGGGAGCCTGGGCTGGCCCTTCTAAGAGCAAGGCCAGTGTTCATCCTGGTAAGAACCTGTGGGTATCTCTTATGTGTATGTGTTTGTCTGTGGCTATGGACAAACACCATCTTCTTGTTGTTTATATCCTTTTGCTTTATGATTGACTCCCATTTCAGTTGATGTTAAGGAGTTGTTTAAAATGTAGCCAGTGTTTTGGTTTTGTTGATGATAAGCTAAGGGCGGATCTTTGGTGTTCCTCATTCTAATTACTACCTCAAATCTTTCAGTGGTCTTCCAAATGATTTCTTGATATCAAAGGGTTATCTCCAGGTGAATTGTATTGGCCGTTGCTCAACAGAAGGTGACGAAAGCTGACTTTGCCCTGGTTTGAGGCTGTTCTCTCTCTTCTTTCAGCTACCACTGCTAAGAGTCACCTCCGCCAGAAGCCTAGTCAGACTTGGAAGAACCAGGAGCGTCATCTGTCTGACAGAGAGTTTGTGTTCAAAGAACCCCAGCAGGTAAATTCTTGGTTCTCCTTCAACAGTAACAAAGCTTTATTCACGTGGTAGACACTCAAATAAATAGTGACTGAATAAATTCACGAATAAATAAGAGAGTGAAAGGACTTTTATAATAATGAAATGTGAAGTATCAGTTCCTTAGTACACCTGAGGATTCTTCATAGTCTGCCTCTAGTCTATAGTTATCATGTATTATTCTTGTTTTCTAGAGCTTGCATTGGCTATCCAAGTTCTAACAGCCCTAAAATCAGGCTGTTTTCAGCGCTGGGGTGGCAGACATTTCTGGAATTCGGTTGAAATTTCAGATACTATAGCAAAATGCCTGATTTTTATCTTGTTTATTCTACTGGGTAAGGTGTAAGAAACAGTGAAGATTTACTTTTTTTTTTTTTTTTTTAGTAGTTTTATTGTGGTAAAATATATGTAACAAAACATTTGCCGTTTTAACCATTTTTTAGTGTACATTTCAGTGACGTTAATTTCATTCACCATGTTTTGCAGTCATCACCACTGTCTGTTTCCAAAAGTTTTTCATCACCCCAAACAGAAACTCAATACTCCTTAAATAATAATTCCCCATTCCCTCCTCCTCCCAGACCCTGGTAACCATTAATAATGCATCTATGCATTTGCCTATTCTAGATATTTCATGTAAGTGGGATCATATAATATTTGTCCTTTTGTGTCTGACTCATTTCACTCAGCATAATGTTTTCAAGGTTCATGTTATAGCATATATCCGAGTTAAAAATTTTTTTATGGCTGAATAATATTCCATTGTATGGATATACCACATTGCGTTGATCCATTCATCCATTGATAGGTACTTGGATTGTTTCCACCTTTTGGCTATTACAAATAATGCTGCAGTGAACAGTGGTGTACAAGCATCTGTTTGAGTCCCTGCTTACAGGTCTTTTGGGTATATACCTAGGAGTAGAATTGCTAGGTCACCATGGTAGTTCCATGTTCAACTTTGTGAGAAATTGCCAAACTGTTTTCCAGAGTGGCTGCACCATTCTACACTCCCACCAGCAATGGATGAGGGCTCCAATTTCTCTACATCTCAACTCTTGTTATTTTCTGGTTTTCTGATAATAGACATCCTAGTGGGTATGAAGTGGTGTCTCATTGTAGTTTTCATTTACATTTCCCTAATGACTAACGACACTGAGTATCTTTTCATGTGCGAATTGGCCATTTATATATCTTCTTTGGAGAAATATCTATTCAAGTCCATTGTCTATTTTTTAATTGAGTTGTTTGTCTTTTTGTTGTTGCATTGTAGGAGTTCTTTATATATCCTGGATATTAAAACCTTATCAGATATATGGTTACCAAATATTTTCTTCCATCCTGTAGGTTGTCTCTTTAGTTTCTTGGTAAAGACCTTTGATGCACGAAAGTTTTTAATTTTGATGAAGTTCCGTTTATCTGTATTTTATTTTGTTGCTTATGCTTTTGGTGTCATATCTAAGAGTCCATTGTCAAAAACAAGATCTTGAAGCTTTACCCCTATGCTTTGTTTTAAGAGTTTTATGGTTTTAGTTCTTATACTTAGGTCGTTGATCTATTTTGAGTTATTTTTTGTATATGGTGTGAGGTATGGGTCCAGCTTCATTCTTTTGCACATGGAGATTTAGTTGTCCTGGCACTCTGTATTGAAGAGACTATTCTTTCCCCATTGAATGGGCTTAGCACCCTTGTCAAAAATCAGTGACCATAAATGTATGTGTTTATTTTTGGATTTTCAGTTCTATTCCATTAGTCTCTATGTAGACTTTATTCCACTGCCACACTGTATTTATTAGTGTAGCTTTATAGTACATTTTGAAATTGGGAAGTGTGAGTCCTTCTACTTTGTTCTTCTTTTTCAAAATTGTTTTGGCTCTTCGGGTCACCTTGCAATTCCACATAAATTTGAGGATCGGCTTTTTCGTTTTGACAAAAAAGGCTGTTGGAGATTTCATTGAAGCTGTAGATCATTTTGGATAGTATTAACATCTTAACAATATTAAGTTTTCTAATTCATAAACACCAGATATCTTTCCACTAATCTAGGTCTTCTTTAATTTCCTTCAGCAATGTTTTATAATTTTCAATGTATAAGTTTTTCACCTCCTTGATTAAATTTATTCCTAGATATTTTATTCTTTTAGATACTATTGTAAGTGGAATTGTTTTCTTAATTTCCTTTTCAGCTTGTTCACTGTTGGTGTGTAGAAACAACAACTGATTTTTGTGTGTTGATCACATACCCTGAAACTTCGCTGAGTTCATTTATTAGCTCTAGTAGCCTTCTTGTGGTTTCTTTGGGATTTTCTGAATATAAGATCATTCATCTGTGAATAGAAATAGTTTTACTTCTTCTTTTCCAATTTGGGTGTCTTTTATTTATTTTTCTTGCCTAATTGCTCTGGCTAGGACTTCCGGAATGATGTTGAATAGCAGTGGTGAAAGCGGCCGTCCTTGTCTTGTTCCTCATCTTAAGGGAAAAGTTTTCAGTTTTTCTCCATTGAGTATGATGTTAGCTCTGAGTTTTTCATAAATGCGCTTTATCATGTTGCAGTTTCCCTTCTATTCCTAGTTTTCTGAGTGTTCTTGTCATGAAAGTGTGTTGGATTTTGTCAAATACCTTTCTGCATCAATTGAGATGATCATGTGGCTTTTTTCCTTCATTCTATTAATGTGGTGTATTATATTGATTGATTTTCTTATTTTGAACCACCCTTGCATTCTTGTGGTAAATCCCACTTGATCATGGTGTATAATCCTTTTAATATGCCGTTGAGTTCAGTTTGCCAGGATTTTCTTGAGGATTTTTGGCTCTATATTCATAAGAGAAATTGGTCTGTAATTTTCTTTTCTTGTGGTATCTATATCTGGCTTTGGTATCAGGGTAATGCAGGCCTCATAAAATGGGTTAGAAAGCGTTCCCTCATCTTCTATTTTTTGGGAAGAATTTGAGAAGAATTGGTGTTCATTCTTTAAATGTTTGGTAGAATTTACCAGTGAAGCCATCTGGTCCTGGATTTCTCTATGTTGGAAGGTTTTTGATTACTGATTCAATCTCTTCACTTGTTGCAGGTCTGTTGAGATTTTGTATTTCTTCTCAAGTCACTTTGGGTAGTTTGTATTTTTAATACTATGGGGGAAAAAGCTAATAATCTGACATCTGGCTGTAGTAATACTTGTATAAATAGTTATCGAAACCCTTCGCTTTCTACTACATCTTTTATTTTTTTTACATCTCATAAAGAAGGTTTTTCTAGAGCTGCTGGCTGCTAGGAAAATGGATTAATTCTAATTGTATCAGCTTTTATTACTCACTAGCAAGTATGATGGAAACCCTGGTGGTGCAGTGGTTAAGAGCTATGGCCGCTAACCAAAAGGTCGGCAGTTCAAATCCACCAGGCGCTCCTTGGAAACCATATGGGGCAGTTCTACCCTGTCCTTTAGGGCCACTATGAGTTGGAATCGACCTGATGGCAATGGGTTTTTACAGGAGCAAGTATGAAGTAGTTATAAAAAGAGCAGAAGTAGGGATCTCTGGTAGGGGAGTGAGAGCTTGAAATAAAGATACAGTTTTAAACCTGATTTACTTAGACCAGAAATGGGAGGATATGGTAATCCTGTCCTGCAAGTAAGTCTCCCTGGGGATTAGATATCATTCCGGAAGTAAGACCTGCCTGTTTCCTTACAGGTAGTGCGCAGAGCCCCAGAGCCACGAGTAATTGAGTAAGTAATGTGCTGCCTTCCTGTGACTATTGCCTGTGGTGAAATGGAGATCCCGGAATCTTTCGCTAGTCCTAGTTTTTCCATCTGGAAGAGATAATGGCTCAATAAATGTCTTAGTTTTAGGCCAGGATATTCCTATCTCAGATGTCCTATCTTAGTTTTTTGAGAAGCCTTTCAGCATTTGCTGATGATATGGAAAAATGCAAGAAGATCTCTGGACATAAAGCTTCACCTCTGGTGTGGATTTCCTGGCCCTCTTTCACTTATATCTGCACACAGTAAGCTAAAACATGTCCTAGGTAAAGACAGAGGGGATTTTTCCTGAGACATTGAAGTATGGCTCTTTGAGAAGCCTTTAAGTACCATTTTACTAGCAATGCTTATGAAAGCTGCTAGAAATCTAGATGACCTACAGTCCGTTTATTAAAACCACATAATTGTTCCAGAGCAATTTAAATGATAGTAAACATTCCTCTAATATTGATCTGTGTCTAAGATGTTCTTATCCAAAAATAGTGAGAGATGCTTTGACTCCTCTTTTCCTACTTTTCATTTTCCATCTGATGTAGAAAAATTGTCAGTAGAAAGCATTCTTTTACCAGACTGGCATTATATGTACGTTATTGTCCACGAGCAGTCTGTTATGATGTTTGGCTGTTTGCGGGTTGGCTTGTATATCTTCGAAAAATTTGAAACTAATACAACATTCTTTCAAAGAGAATTTCTAGTGTTGGCACTGTGACTAGTTAGCTATGTAACTAGTCCTGAGGTAGGTTATTGCCACCTCTCTGGACTTAAGTTTCCTTGTCTGTAAAGGTAGGGATTAGGACTATATAAGTCTAGCTCTAATAGTCTTTAATTGTTTTACAAATACCAATGTGGTATTGCCTCCATTGGTGATAAAGAGAATAAACAAAACTGTAAAACCCTTTAGAAGGTACGGATGGGATATTCAGACTGGAAAAATGGGCAGTTGCCAGTTTGCAAGTCAAAGAAAATGACAGAACCTGTCTTAGTTATCTAGTGCTACTCTAACAGGAATACCACAAGTGGATGGTTTTAACAAAGAGAAGTTTATTTCGTTACAGTAAAGTAGGCTAAAAGTCCAAATTCAGGGTGTCAGCTCCAGGGGAAGGTTTTCTTTCTCTGTCGGCCTTCTCATCAGTGTTTCCCCAGACTAGGAGCTTCTCCACGCAGGGACCCCGGGTCCAAAGGACACGCTCTGCTCCTGGCACTGCTTTCTTGGTGGTATGAGGTCCCCCTGTCTCTCTGCTCACTTCTCTCTTCTATATCTCAAGAGATTGCCTCAGGACACAATCCAGTCTTGTAGACTGAGTCCTGCCTTGCTAACACAACTGCCACCCATCCTCCCTCATTAACATCATAGAGGCAGAATTTACAACATATAGGAAAATCACACAATACCAGGAATCATGGGCCAGCCAAATTGATACACACATTTCTGAGGGGACATAATTCAATCCATGACAACCCATTTCTACTTGACCCTAGTGTTTGTTAATTCTAGTTATCTAAAGTTAACTATGCTAGATTTTTTTTTCCTAATAGCCAGGAATGTACTCCACATTTGAAATGAGCCAGTTTCTAAATGTGACCCAAGATACATCATATTGAAACGTTGTATTCATACTCTGGAAAACTTAATAAGCAACTCATTTGGAAATGTGGTATATATATATGACAATAATTACCCCTCCATTTTGGCTCAAAGGGACTCACACATCTATCGAGCCAGGCTCAGACATCATGAACCACAAACTCACCTGATAGAGGGCAACATGAAATCTATCCCTTTATACTATTCTGTATAACATCTCTCTCAAAAGGATTTGGCACAGTTGTCTTGATAGACAAACGTGTCCAGTCTATACTTCATTTCTTCTCACCAAGGACCTTACCACACTGCACATCTACAACAGTTTTGTACTTTCCCACATTTGATTAAATTCAGTAATTGCTTATCTATTATGTGCTGTTGTTGTTGTTAGGTGCTGTTGAGTCAGTTCTGACTTGTGACCCCGTGTACAACAGAGTGAAACACTGCCTGGTCCTGCACCTTCTCACACTTATTGCTGTGTTTGAGCCCATTGTCGCAGCCACTGGGTCAATCCATCTTATTGAAGATTTTCCTCTTTTTTGCTGACCCTCTACCAAGCATGATGTCCTTCTCCAGGGACTGATCCCTCCTGATAACATGTCCAAAGTATGTGATACAGAGTCTCACCATCCTCACTTCTAAGGACCATTCTGGCTGTACTTCTTCCAAGACAGATTTGTTTGTTCTTCTGGCAGTTCATGGTATATTCAGTATTCTTCGCCAGCACCATAATTCAAAGGCATCAATTCTTCGGTCTTCCTTATTCATTGTCCAGGTTTCACATGCACATGAGGCAATTGAAAATACCATGTCTTGGGTCAGGCGCACCTTAGTCCTTAGAGTGACATCTTTGCTTTTTAACACTGCAAAAAAAGGTCTTTTGCAGCAGATTTGCCCAATGCAATGTGTCATTTGATTTCTTGACTGCTGCTTCGATGGGCATTGATTGTGGAGCCAGGTAAAATAAAATCCTTGACAACTTCAATCTTTTCTCCATTTATCATGATGTTGCTTATCGGTCCAGTTGTGAGGATTTTTGTTTTCTTTATGTTGAGGTGTAATCCGTAATGAAG